TGAACACCAGGTCTAATAGGAATTGCTGATTGAGAGTCATTCTGTGACAGAACACCACTGAGTTGAAGTCGACCCTGAGTGAAACAAAGTGATCTTGAATGGATATAAGGTGGTTGTAGAAAAGACACGTTGAAATGTATCTGAGGGCAAGGGAAGAGTTCTACTGAATGTTGATTGTGCTGACCGTGTGTAGGTCCGTGTCGACCGTGGCGGGGCTGTATACCCAAAGGTGTGAGCAAGTGAACCTTGCCTGGATGGCGCAAGTGAGGTTCTTATGTTGATGTCTGTCGATGATATAATTTTGAATGACATTGAATAAAGATGAAACTGACAACCATAGTCGACTGTCCTTTGGAGACGTGTGGTAGTTTGTTAGAAGAGAAGTCTGTCTCGTCTACTCTGTGGGCTCTGAACTCCTAGACAACGGACTGGGTCGAGAGGGTACGAGCGAAAAAAAAGTACGAAAGAGACCCATTACAAAGGAATACAAACACTCCTTTATAAACGCAAAGAAGAGGAAGATGGAGATTTACAATAACAGCAACAACACTCATTCGCCTGGAAACACCCTCTCTAAAAGCTATGTCAATGTTTTAAATTTCTGAACAATGTTATTTTTAAGTTTAATGCAATTCTTGGCATTCCAAAATTATTCCTAGAAAAACCACAACAGCCAAAAAATGCAGGAGATGCTTCTGCAATGTCATTAAAGGATATACAACTAACCAACTAACCAACTAAACAACTAACCAACCAACTAACTTACTAACCAACCAACTAACCAACTAACCAACCAACCAACTAACCAACTAACCAACTAACTAACTAACTAACTAACTAACTAACTAACTAACTAACTAACTAACTAACTAACTAACTAACTAACTAACTAACTAACTAACTAACTAACTAACTAACTAACTAACTAACTAACTAACAAATACAAGACCAGACTAGTTACATTCTGTGTGGTGTGAGTTAAGCGTTTCGGGAAGATAGTCCAGACCTTTCAAACACTGATAAAGTAGAGGACCCCTTTGCCAAGCCATCAGGTGTACTGGGCATCAAGAGCTAGCCCTGCATTTTCTAGACCAATCGGTACTTGATGGGTCAAGTAGTTAACATTACACCTGCCGCCTTTACTTCCAGCATTGACCCTGGTACCCATTTGAGGCTGGGTCGACCTAGGAGCCAATGTTATTTTTGAAAAACATCCGACTCCATCAGGATCTGAACTCACGACTTTCCGATCCGTAGGAGAGAGTAGTCACTACATCGCACCGAGCCTCTTTAAAATCATGATAATCAATTGAAATATTTTGTTCTACAGTTTTTATTTTAAAGTTAAAATAAGTAAGAAAAGGACATTTTTCCTGCCAGAACTATATGTTAAACCAATTGGCACCATTCGGGTGATGAAGTCTGCATAACGCCAGCGACTTTTACTTCCCAGGACTTGACCTGGTACCCATTTTAGGATGGGTCGATCTGGCAGCCATAGCCAGAACTAAAAAATCTGAGTCGATGCGAATTCGAACTCAAAACCTTTAGGCGTGCTGATGGCCACTGCTTTACTGTTGGTGCCTTATTAGGTAGTTTAAAGTTACATACAATAAAGAGATAAAATGAAAATGATTTTTGCGAATGAAAAAGGTCAAATTTTGAAAACCTCAAGCTAAATTATTTTTTCCCTTTTTTTTAAAAATCAGGAATGTAAAAATATTTACAAATCAAAGTGATACTTTGACACGTTAATGCGTTTGTTGTCATTGTCAGTTCTCATGTGCCTGCCTGTCCGTAGAAATGTTCTTTAAGTCTTTGTCCTAGTAAGTAGTAGTAGTAGTAGTAGTAGTAGTAGTAGTAGTAGTAGTAGTAGTAGTAGTAGTAGTAGTAGTAGTAGTAGTAGTAGTAGTAGTAGTAGTAGTAGTAGTAGTATAGTAGTAGTAGTAATAGTAATAGTAGTAGTAGTAATAGTAGTAGTAGTAGTAGTAGTAGTAGTAATAGTAGTAGTAGTAATAGTAGTAGTAGTAGTAGTAGTAGTAGTAGTAGTAGTAGTAGTAGTAGTAGTAGTAGTAGTAGTAGTAGTAGTAGTAGTAGTAGTAGTAGTGATAATAGTAGTAGTGATAGTGGTAGTAGTAATAGTAGTAGTAGTAGTAGTAGTAGTAGTAGTAGTAGTAGTAGTAGTAGTAGTAGTAGTAGTAGTAGTAGTAGTAGTAGTAGCAACAGCAACTGCAGCAGCAGCAGCAGCAGCAGCAGCAGCAGTAGTAGTAGTAGTAGTAGTAGTAGTAGTAATAGTAGTAGTAGTAGTAGTAGTAGTAGTAGTAGTAGTAGTAGTAGTAGTAGTAGTAGTAGTAGTAGTAGTAGTAGTAGTAGTAGTAGTAGTTGTGATTGTAGTAGTCAAAGTTTAAACTTGTCTGCAAAGACGTTGTCTCCACAGTTGCTCCGCCCCTGTGATAGTGAACATCACACGCAATATCCCCCCGACTGTACCACATGAAAAACTAGTCCCGGCCAAATCTATAAACATTCTCGTGCAGTAAATGCATAAGGCTGCTGCATGACATTCAACACAGTAGTCGTTATCAGGATTGCAAGTTTTCGTTATTGGAAGCAAGTGGTCAGTTAGGATCAGTGGGGTCGTATACATCTCCAATTATTGTATAAGGCTGTGATTCCCAAACTGTGCACAGCGGGGCCCTGTGAAGCTGCGATCTCTTCACAGGGGCGCCGCGAAATATTGTCAATGTTTTATAATTAATTTAACAAAGACACAGATAGTCATACTTTTACTTAGGTTAGGGCGCCGTGATAGATTTGTAATTGAAAAAAAGCGCTGCGACCAAGACAAGTTTGGGACACACTGGGATATGGTATTTTGTCAGTCCAGATGCAGGCGTGTTACCCACCCTTTTCTGAATATCCCGACACAGCTGCTGGAGCACACGAGGAAGGCTACTTCACAAAATACACAGCTCTTGATGGTGCATACAACACTTAACCCACTAGCTTATAAATATAACACTTTATTACACAAACAGAAATCAACATCCGACTCTTCTCTCTCTGTCTCTCTCTCACACACACCACATACACGTGTGTTTCTACCCTCTGCAGAAAGTTTGCAGCAGTGTGGTCTTGAACTTTGAACTCATAAAGAAATATACAAAGATGTTGACACTGAAGTTTACCGTTTGAACAAGGGCAGTCAAAGACCAAACAACAAAGAAAATATTTCCATATTTTCCAGTTAAACTAAATTCAGGGTTGTACGCCATAAAGAAAAAGTTTATGGTAGCCGGTGTGTAGCAAGTAATGAAAATTACAGAAATCAGAATGACCATCTTTACTACTTTTTTCTCTTTTGCTGAGATCGTTTCTTGTTTTCCTGCAGATAGCGAGATAGATGTTTGCCGCCATTTCTGCTTCTTGTTGAGTTCATAGATGAGAATAGATGTGAAGACTATGACAGATAACAAACAGAAGACCGGAAGTACCACACTGTGAATTGGGTATGTAATCGTCTCAACTATGACCCTATTTTCCGAGAAGGTAAGGGTTAAAATAGTTGTGTTCCGTAGAGGGTTGTGAACCCAGACCAGTTGATTGACAAAGCATGAGGGCGCGAAGAGACCAATCATGACCATGAAGATGGAGAGGATAACTGATTTGGTTCTGAAAGGCGTAATGACATCTTTGACTTTGAGAGGGATGGTGACGCAGAGACATCTCTCCATGGTGATGAAGGCGGTGATGAGACTGGTGACTCTGAAAGTTCACAAAGAAAACTCAAGTGGTTTTGTTTCAACAAACAATTTTGGACAGAAGATTCTATCTAGTCCGATAATTTTAAAATAATTCATTGTATAGTAGATCATTGTATAGTAGATCATAAAATATAGTAGAACATTGTATAGTAGATCATTGTATAGTAGATCATTATATAGTGGGTCATTGTATAGTAGATCATTGTATAGTGGGTCATAAAATATAGTAGAACATTGTATAGTAGATCATTGTATAGTAGATCATTATATAGTGGATCATTGTATAGTAGATCATAAAATATAGTAGAACATTGTATAGTAGATCATTTATAGAAGATCATTATATAGTAGATCATTGTATAGTTATTCATCTTCTTAATTTTTTTCGTTCATCGGTTGTAAACTATGTAGTAAAATTATGGTATTTAGATCATTACTGGGCATCAATGCACACGGGTAGTAATCCATAAGTGCTCCGATCTTTCTTCTAACTCAACTCTGAGTTCAAAGAAGCTCAGCACAGCGTACAGGCTCTGTAGCACCGGCGAGAATCCTGAAATACTTTGGACAGATTTATACCTCCGCATTTTTTTCAAACCTCAAACCTTAAGCTCCACGGCACTTAACGGCATAAGTGGAAACTGATGGTATTGATGATTTATAAAGTACAAGGCGACGGTTGCTTGGATCTCGTCCGGGATAAAACCGTCAGCATTCTTAGAATAAATTTCTCAACTGGATGATGATTGATGAAGCAACTTTTGGACTAAAGCTTTCTTGCTATAGTGATCTTCTACCATAATCTTTCGATTGTAGCAAATGACACTCCTGTCCGCCGTTTAATGTTTTTTTTTTTCGGCCAGCACCTCATAGGACGTTTAAAACATCGACTGGAGCCATAGGTTGCCTGTGTGATGGACGTGTAGAAAGGCAGACTATCCGCTCTTTCATTACCCATTAACTTCGCTTGTTGTACAAAGAATGAACGCTTGCTTCTTTCCACTTACACCTTATCATAAATATAACATTAATATTCGGCAGCTATCTTACGATACTTGATTAAGTAGAAATTGTACAAGGCAATATAAAAGCATAGCCTTCTATCATTAATTTAGGAGACACAATTTTTAAAAAAAATTGTGAAATTAAGATTGTCGAACCTGTTGAAACATGCGTGTGGCCAACATCCACTCAAGTACACAACATCGAACGGATTAAAATTTAGGTCCTGGGGACGTTAGAAGCGGGCTGAAACCAATGCTCACCCAGACCATAGTCAATGCACAGCCAAGATCCCCTACTGCCAAACCTGTAAATTAGGAGAGACAGAAATATAGGACAAATAGTAATGTCTTTTTTGATAAGTAACTCCCTTTTTCCGCTGCTATTTTTGCTCTACCTGATCTTCTTTTCTGCTGCTGCTTATGCCTTAGAGAGTCGCAGTCAGATGTAGCTTCCTGTCTTTTGCTACTTGTCTAGCTTATGTTAGTGTCATATCTGTCATGGGGATCCACATTGCAAGAGAAGCTATGGGGGAGTGGTGGCGACCTTAAACGCACAATCCTATTTTTGACCCAGACGGGACTCAATGTTTAGCATGACTGATGTCGAACGCAGAAGAAGGAGAAGAAGAAGTGTCATATCTTGTTTCTGTAGTGTATCCTTTACTCCGTCTATCCTTTTTGAGTTGTAGCCTGCTGTTCTTACGTAATACACTCTAACTGCTGGCTGATATTGTTCCATTCTGCCCAGATGACTAAACCATTTGATTCTTTGATGCTCTATGAAATAATTTACCGGTACTGTGCTTAGCATTGTTCTTAGTTCTTTGTTGGTGACACTGTCTGTTCTTGTTTCTCTCGCCGCATGTCTCATAGATCTGGTCTCACATGTTGTAATTTTGCTGGGGGATTTTTTCCGAGGACTATTCATGTCTGGCGTTGACAGCACAAAGTTGGTTCCAACAGCGCATTTATCCGCTGCTTTTGTCTGCATTTGCACATCTGACGTCTCAGATGTGGCGCTTTTTTGGGGGGTAATTTATGCTGTTAGCCTTCGGTATTCTATTTTCTATTTATCTATTTAATTTCCCGATTTCAGTTAATACGTTGCCAAGGTACTTAAACCCGCTAGCTTGTTTCAACGTCTTGCCTTCAACAGTGAATACATTGCCAAGGTACTTAAACCCGCTGGCTTGTTTCAACGTCTTGCCTTCAACAGTGAATACATTGCCAAGGTACTTAAACCCGCTAGCTTGTTTCAACGTCTTGCCTTCAACAGTGAATACATTGCCAAGGTACTTAAACCCGCTGGCTTGTTTCAACGTCTTGCCTTCCAACAGTGAATACATTGCCAAGGTACTTAAACCCGCTGGCTTGTTTCAACGTCTTGCCTTCCAACAGTAAATACGTTGCCAAGGTACTTAAACCCGCTAGCTTGTTTTAACGTATCGCCTTCAACAGTGACGATATGTTGAACTAGTATTCTATTTACTGTCAATATATCTGTGTGCTTTGTCTCAATTGTTTTATCGTATTAAGTATTTGAAAAGCAGACAGAGCCATTTCAAGTTACCAACCACAGTGGACAGAATGCACATCTATTTAGCATGTGGTTACCCAAGAAACTAAATTGCCTCTGACATCTACAAATAAGGAGATGAGGAGGAAAAAGAGCAAACAGTGGGTGCAAGGACACTTCAAAAGACAAGTTTATCTGGTAAGACCAGGGGACTTAGCTTGAAGAAAAAGATCTGAAAATGCAACAGCAGCATTTTAGGAATACTATTATACAACCATGAGCGGTGGTCAGTAGTAATTTAAAGTAAGTAAAGTAAAAGGACCCCTCTACACGCCTTTAGGCCTATAGGGCATATAAGGCTAGACCTATATTTTTATAGACCAAACATACCTGGCTCGCTAGCGTAGATGGTTAAAGCTGACTTCTAGGCGACGGGGTGACGAACTTATTGTGGTCCGTGTTCACTCCCAGGATAGGCAGAAAAGCCACATTTCTCCCAGATTTACGGTGCCTATAATGGAATCAAGGCCGAATGCTTGCGATATTCATAGTACCGAGCCAAAGGATTTACTGCTTATGGTTTCTGGATACTTAAAAAATAGACCAAACGGCACAAGATTGGTGATGTGGTCAGCATCACGCTGGCCACCTTTACTTCCCTAAACCAACTCAAGGCTGGGTCAACCTGGGATCCAATGTTATTTTTGACAAAAGTCCAGCTCCGCCAGGGAGCGAAACCACGACCTTGGGGTCCGAACGCGAGCGTCTAGCCGCTACGCTAGGGCGACTCCCCGTTGGACAGTAGTAACCAAGAATTATTTTATGATGTTTTTTTTTTCCACTAGCCTAAATTAATGAAAGTCTCTAGCTCGTTTGGTATCTGTTTTAGTCTTCCCCCCTGTTTGTGTTTTCAGCAGCAGTATTTGATTAAACAGCACTAAAAGTACATGTCTAAGCAACAGCAAGCAAATGTAAGTCAAAACTATGAGAGCGTGAATCTTTCCTGCTAACAACATACAAGTGTAAGTAGCAGACTCTAGTGCTATCGTTGAGGAAGAAAAAGGTTTTTAAGCTGAAATGTTGCGGGAAGATTCCTAGAATACAGTGGACGACACAGAAGAGAAATAATGACATCCTTAGAGAAATTGAGTAAGAATCGGCATGAGAGCGCTCGGAACATTCCTATAAACACTGCTTTCCTATCTTCAGCAGCTAGCCAGAGTTTCAGTTCCAAATTAAAAGTAAGTCTGATCATGTGTCCGTCTCGCTATTCTCATTATTGTTTGGTGTCGGCCAGATCTCCTGTAGAGTCCTAGCAGCACAGTTCTTCTCAGACAGTGATGATCCGTGCCTACGCACTTTTTACTGGCTCCTCAAGTGCACTTGTAACATCTAGCCAAGTGCACTTGTAACATCCAGCCAAGTGCACTTATAACATCTAGCCAAGTGCACTTGTAACATCCAGCCAAGTGCACTTGTAACATCTAGCCAAGTGCACTTGTAACATCCAGCCAAGTGCACTTGTAACATCCAGCCAAGTGCACTTGTAACATCTAGCCAAGTGCACTTGTAACATCTAGCTGGTTCTTGGAATCGCGGAATGAGCCACCTATTTCTAGGGATTTTCCCTCAAATCCCTGAGCTAGCCCTTGTGTTCTCCTGCAACGTTTACACAGAAAAGAAAAAGTAATTAAAAATATGATTGGACAAAAGCCACCTACCTAACAAACTGATGTTGATGCTGTCTTTAAATCCTTGTTTGATGAAGACGATTATATTCGTCACGTTTGCCCCAATTCCGAATAAACTCAGAATTCCGCAGATGGCGACAAACAGAACTATTTTAAACATCTCCTGCACCTCGTTGCTGACTGGGTCGGGGTTGCTAGACCCTGTTACTTTAACTAAGTTTACTGTCAGATCTAAAAATACATTCTTTTCTGTTGTTCTGTCTATTTGTTCTAGATCAGTACTTGCTTGTAGTAACACATCCATTTTCTACACAATAGACAGACATTTGATACACATCGCAGATCTTTCTACCAAAGAGAAAGACATTTTCTAAGCACCCAATGCAAATATAATGGACGAGTACCTTTAGAGATGTCGGCTCTGTGGCTAAGTCGATGCGAACGCTTCGTAATGCTGGGGTGCCAGGTTCGATCCTAGCTGAGGGCCAAGCGTCTTACGTTGGTTTCGACAGTGATATCAGGGGGCCGACCGTCTAGTAGCAATGGCAAACTACTGGACGTAAATTTGCATAGAGAAGCCACACAACAACCAGGGGCTGTTGGGGTTGGTTCTGCAACGTCCTGTAAAGGATACGCAACTAACTTTTAACCTTTAGAGATATTCAAATAGAGAAGTACATACTTTTGCAAGCTAGTATTATTTAAAAAATTAAAGACAAAGAAACGGAACACACTGTGTATAAGTATAAACTATATTGGACAAGAGAATATAAAAAACATACATGATCGCAACAGACGGATTTTCAGTAACAAATATTCAAGAAAGAAGGAAGCTCATTCTGTTTTAAATATGTGGAACAGAGGTAAACAGAAAGCAAAATAAGCTTCAACAGTTAATACAAGAAAAAGCTCAGGGGATTTGCGGGTACGAGTTAAAGAAACACATGTCAAAGTACGTAGACCAATGCTTTTAGCTTCACTATGAAGTCGACCTTCATAATGCCGGGGTGCAGAGTTGGATCGGTCCAGTAAGTAATGGCAAACTACTAAATTTGCCTAGAAAAACCACCACAGTCAAACAATGCTGGGGTTGGTTCTGGAACGTCCTGTAAAGGATACACAACTAACTTAAGGAGTCGACAGTCGTAACTAAAGCAATAAAACTGACTGGAGACATAAATTTTGAATCTGGAATGTCTTTCTCAGTGACTTTATTGGTGTGCCCAAGAAATGTCAATGGGTCAGGATCGAAGACAGTGGTTCAAGTCTTTAGAGCGGTCACAGCTGACAACGATCAGTTTAATTTGTATACCAGGATATACTAATGTTTTGGTTTATTGGTTTATTCAACGGAACGACATCATGGCACACGGTTGTAACCCGTAAGTGCTCCGTTCTACTTCTAACTCAAGCCTGAGTCTGAAACAGCTCAGCGCAGTGCACGAGCTCCGTTGCACTGGGGAGGATATTGAAATACTGTGGATAGATTTTAAACTCCAAAATTCTGGCTGGGCTGCGCCGTTAGGCTAATCTTTCTGATTTCCCATTGCCAAGGAATTTTTTTACGCAACAATACACACGGGCGTCCGATCTTACTACCCAGAGGTAAGGGGGAAAATACTGAAAGTCCACGTGAAAAAATTCCAGCCTTCACTAGGGCCTGAACCCTGGACTCCAGCAGTTGAGGCGTACGCAATGCCTCGAGATCACACAGCTCCCTTAGACCAGTAGAAGAGGACAGAACAAGCTGATGGGGTTGTTGGCAAAACTATAACTGTTGTAGGTGGATGAGCAATGGATCATGCTGATTAAACCGAATCTTCATCATATTATTATAGTCCACGCAGAAAGACATTAGTTGTGATGTTTATTGACAGCCTTCTATATTGTGTACTGTCAAATTATATAGAGTTCGTCGTCTCGTGGAATGCAATTTTTTGGTGTTCTTTTAAAGCTTCACTCTGACTTCTACCGGAGGCCCTGAATATAGCCGGGCCGCAAATATGGCCTAGACATAGATATGGCCTAACGGCTGAACGGGGTTTCTGGGACCTCTCCACGGGTGATCATCATCCGCATGGTGGCACTTTGTGTCACCTGATGTTTATCGCTAGTGTGATGTCCTGGTGGGGTACAACTGCCTACATACATACCTTGTGCACTGTCAGTCAATCCTTGAGGGGTCAGCTTTAAGAAAATATGTCTTTATTGCAGAACAAAAGCCTCGTGTCTTGTGCACTTTCAGTCAATCCTTGAGGGAAACTGGGGAGGGAGGGGGTGGGGTGGTAAAAGAAATCATTGCATAACGAGGGGAGGGGCAAGTAAATTCTAAAGCCGGTTGCAACTTGAACCCCAGTACGGGTACTTCTTCTTATTCCTATTCTTAACGCTTATCAGTTGTGAATTCCGGCGACAAGTCCTGGTTGTTCGTCCAGTTGGTCTTTGACCGTGTACCAAGACCTGAGTTTTGCGTGTACATCCGTTTTACTGACCTGCTTGTGTGCAGTTCTTGTTCCCTGCCTCTCCAGCAGGTGTACTCCGACTTCGAGGGAAATTGAGGGAACGAAGTTTTCGTTGACTCCTATAGAAGGCGACGGAGCACTTAAGGAAATGACCTAAGTGCAATAATATCAATTCATTCATTTATTCAATAATCCATTCATTAATCCACTCATTCATTTATTCATTAATCCATTCATCAATCCACTCATTCATTTATTCATTAATCCATTCATTAATCCATTCATTAATCCATTCACTCATTAATTCATTTATTCATTCGTGCATTCATTCATTCATCTATCCATTTATTCATTCATTCATACATATCATCCATCCATCCATGAATCCATCCATCCATTCATTCATCCATCCATCTATTCAAATCGGCCATGCCAATAAATCTAAGTGCAATAAATTCTATCCTACAGACTTAAATTATACAATTTATCTTCACAATTGTATAGATGAACATTCTGAGTTAGGCCTATACCAGCCGTATACATTCTTCTTCTTCTTTTGTCGCCTTATTGCTACGAGGTTGTGGCCCAGTGTTGTGGTTTTGTCGTCTCACTGATACCAGGTTGTAACACTGCGGTTTTCTGTATTTGTCTAGCGTTTTTTGAGTGGATTGGGTGATGGGTTTACGGATTTGTTAATCTTTTTGCAAGTTTCTGCTATTCTATTTGTGCGCATTTTTCCTAATAAACCTCTGGCCTTCCTCTCAGATGTTTTATTCTAAAAAGTCTCAGATGCAGTCTGGTCTGGCTGCATTCTCACTAGATGGCTGAACTGTATAATTCTTTTGTCTGTACATAATCCAGACATGGTCTTATTCCGACTTTCTCTCTAATTTTGGTATATGTAATCTTGTCTTGTATACATTTTGTACCGATATTTAACTTGATATCTAGCTTTTGCAAAGAATTTTTATGCTTGAAAACTAGACTTATGCACCGGAATTTAGGGTATGCTAAATTAATTTTGCCATTCATATTTTCAGTGACGCAGTCAATATAGCAATGAAGTACGGTAATCTGCGCATTCAATATCGCATTTTAATGTGAACTGCAGTTCTCTCTTTCACTACACACCAGCTCCCAGATACACAGAAAGAAAAACATACCGGGAAAAAAAAAAAAAAAACAATCGAAACAACTCTTAATTACTGTTTCTGTAATTTTGAGTCATAGTTCCTTCGTTGCCATGTTGTTATTGATGAATAATTGAAACATTAGCAGTAAAGAAACTAATTATGTTGGGTAAATACCAACTTGTATGAGAAATCGTTGTAAAAATATGAACAAGAGACTAGTTGGTGAGCTTTCAAGACGTGTCAAAGGTTGAGAACACGTATTATGTCTTAGGTATAACATACGGTACTGTGTATTCAATGGAGAGAATGACTTGTAATTCACTTCAATTTTAAAGCAAATTATGGTGCCTATAGATCAATGTTTCCAAACCTTTGTTGTGCCCTGCCCCACCTAATCATTTATAAAATTAGTATGCCCTCAGGACGAGTCCATTTTTGAATTGCCCCTATTAACAATTAAATTATCCCCCCCCCCCTCAACTACAACCAAACTGCCCCACTCCCATCCGAGTGGCATATCCCTAAGCTGGCAATCATTGTTATATACGGACGTTGACTTGCGGGAGGCAAAGTAAAACACTCCGCCGTGGTGTAGCGCCTAGAGAAAGACTAAATTCCCTCCAGTTTTAGAGCAAATTATAGAACCTATAGACGGTCTTTAAGCTGTAGCACGGGAAGAAGATAGTAATAAAGCTGCACTCTCTTAGGCATGTAGAATCCGCCGTGGTGCAGCGGCTAGATGGTCGCTTGCGGATCAAAAGTTCGTGGGCTTAAATCCGCTTGGGGCCTGATTTCTTTCAAAATGGCTTTGGCTTCCAGGTAGACTTACTTTACATGGATACCAGGTAAAGTCATGGGAAGAAAAGGTGGCCATCATGGTGGTGACCAGGCCACGCATGGAGGTCTATAAAAAATATGTCTGGCCTCATATGCCTGATGCGCTACTGAACCTTTAGCAGGTATGTCGTAAGAGGCTACTCAGGGTAAGGTTGCTCTTTGGGGTGGCTAGCTCATCACGTAAAAAACGGTAGCCATAAAAACCAACCAGCCATGGAAGATGATGGAGGACATGGGGTGATATGCCTGCTGTAGTGAATGTATTAAGACTTAACATGCGCTAGTGAAGGTCTATGCTCCGCCAGTGGATAAAGGTTAAAGTATGGAGGTTCGACTTAATTGCTGGGTTCGATCTACTATGGCTCAGTCTCTCTCCGCTAAACAACTATCCGCCTCGAAAGAGTGTAGCAGAAAGCACGATTTCTGTAGATTCGGTGATGATCCTCTAGGATCTCCGTTAAAATGGCACTCCTGAATAGAAACGACGCAGCCGTGAAAGGAACCCACGATCATCAGATCACCATGCAAACGGTGTAGATGGGAAAGGCTGGAAGAATAAGAAGAAACAAAAGATACAGAATAAAACATTGTAGCGGTTATATGAACGCCATGAAACAATCTCTATAGCACGCTAAAAATGCATCGGCGTAAGTTACTGGGAAGTCGAAATGAATCTTTCCGGGGCTGGATTAACCATGAAAATACGTACTTAGAGCATCTAAACCAGAGGAGGCACCATTTACATTTCCAATAGACTTAGAGCTTAGGGTTTGATCCCATA